GCTCTCTCTCTCTCTCTCTCTCTCTCTCTCTCTCTCTCTCTCTCTCTCTCTCTGCCTACTGCTTGCAGATCAAGATGTAAAGCTCTTTTAGTGCTCTAGCACCATGCCTGTCTACTTCTGCCAGATGCTAATGAACTAATCTTCTAAAACTGTAAGAATGCCCTTAGTTAAATGCTTTCTTTTATAAGAGTTGGTGTCTCTTCAGAGCAATAAAATAGTAGTAAGATTGACACTAATAACTTTTTGAAAATAACATTAATGCAACAACTGTATGCAACAGGTGCTATTCTTTATTTATTGAGAGTGAACATGTATCATGGTGTGTGTGGAAGTCAGGTGACAACTTGAGAGGGTAGGTTCTCTCTTTCCACTATGTGGGTTCCAGGGATCCAACTTAGGTGGTCAATCTTGGCAGCAAGAACCTTTATGTGCTGAGCCATCTTGCTAGCCCCAGGGATAGATGCTACTATAGTTTTCACTTCATGGATGAGACCATGGAAGAAATCAAGTAACTTGCTCAAGATAAATAGTAGAAGTAGAACTTATGTCCATGTGATCTGAGTTCCGGAACTGAAGCTCAATAATTCTAGCCATGGACTAATTCTACATGGTTAAAAATGTGAGAAATAAAACTAGGGACACCACCACTCATGTCTGCTTTTCTACTCAACCAAGGTAACCTTTACTCTTGTCTGCACATACTAAGACCATATGTTTAGAATTCATTTCTAAAGTTTACTATACATCTGTTCCAAGTCTACATTGAATTACTCAAACTCAGTATATATTTTTATTAACAATTTCTTGACAAATGCACCAATTTGGTGACCCATCTTTGCTATCTGAAGGGGCTCATCACTCATAAACAGTTGTATCCATGTGCAGTAATGGGCGTTCTTCTAATTGTAGCTATTTGGTAGAACCAAGTGGAAAGGTCACTTGAAAGCATGAGTTCAAGATTAGTCCAGGTAGCATATTAAGTCTCCATCTCAATTTTTTTTTCAAGAATACATTTCTTAGTCCCTCCTTCCCACCAACCAGCTTGCTCCTCAGGCTTTTCCTCACCACAGTTCTGAAACCCTCACTGTGCTCGGTCACTCCTGGAACACTGTGTTCAGTTTGGGAACTGGAAAAAACAACAAGAATAGAGAACACAGGAGGTTATCAAAACACTGAGGGATCTGAAGAGCCCTTCTGAGGACTCAGAGACTCTGTCACCAAGAAATGAGGCCATGTGGGTATTTAGGAGTGTCCTGTGAGAGAAAGAATGCATGCAGAGATGGCAGAATTGCTAGCTAGCAGGTGCCACAAAACAGTTAGGCTTCCTCCTTCCAATCCTGTAGCTGGGGATGGCAGGCACTCCAAATAGTAACTTACACTGAACAGCAGGTGTCATGGGTCTGAATCATGAGCTCCTTCCTTCCCCAGATGCTGGCTTGGTAAACCTTGGTGACATTCAGAGATGGGGAGATAGGATAGTAGGACCTGCGGGGTTGCACAATCTTCAGTAGAAAAGATATTGTCGATGTCCCTCAATTGACATTTTAAAGAAATCTATTTATTTATTTATTTATTTATTTATTTATTTATTTATTTAATGTATATGAGTACACCATTGCTTTCTTCAGATACACCAGAAGAGGGCACCAGACACCATTACAGATAGTTGTGAGCCACCATGTGGTTGCTGGGAAATTAACTCAGGACCTCTGGAAGAGCCATTTCTCCAGCCCCCTCAGCTGATATTTGATGTTGGGTTTCTATGGTAACCCAATCAATCCCCCTCCTCATAGCCATGCCCTGTGTGCACTCTGCTGCTCTCCAATCTAGGATCATTCTGTGACATGTTTTACTCATCAGAGTGTGGCAACCATGCACTGGGCCCACTCTATAATCCCTGACAGCTTCCTTCTCCATTCTGGTAAGAAGCCAGCCAGCTCTGCATAAGTCAAATCACCACAAACAAAGCAGGAAGCCTGAGATAATCACCTTGGGGGGGGGGGGAGGTGGAAACCCAGCCCACAGCAAAGTCTGAGGCCCAGACCAAGGAGGACCCAAGCTGGATGGTCCACACAGACCCCAGTTCTCCGAACTCTCTTGACTGACACTGCAGGGAGACAAGGAGCTGTCTCTACTGGGCTCATGCATGTTGTAGAACATAGATTCAGGGATGGAGTAGGTCCAGTCTTTCACTTTGGGGGTAGTTTGTCACAGAGCAATAGCACCAAGAAAGTCTCCTTGTTGTTCATTTCTCCCTTTTGTTTGATCTGTAACCCTCACCATCAGAAGTACCCAGAAAATAAATGCTAATCAGGGAGGAAAACATCATCTGAAGCCATCTGTCTTCTTTAAGGGACATTTTGACAAAAGTAGGCCCACATTCCCTTTCTTCTCTTCTCTTCTCTTCTTTTTTTTTTTTTTTTTTTGGATTTTCAAGACAGGGTTTCTTTGTGTAGCCCTGGCTGTCTTGGAACTCACTCTGTAGACCAGGCTGGCCTTGAACTCAGAAATCCGCCTGCCTCTGCCTCCCAAGGCGTGGGCCACCACTGCCTGGCCCACATTCCCTTTCTTATAAGGCTTTTCCAGGTTATCTTTATTCTCCTGTGTCCAAACTGTTCCCTTGCTCACAAGATGCCTGTGATGGCTAATCTTCATTGTCAACCGGACTGGATTAGGGACAACCTAGAAAACATGCCACTGTGTCTGTGGGAGCATTTCCATAGGGTTCGGGGGTCCCGTCCCATGGATTGAGATCCCAGACAGAACAAAAATGGGGCAAAGGTGGAAGCCAGCCAGGTATGCAAGTTTATTTCTGTTTCCTCGCTTCCATGAGGTGAGCAGTCTCCTTAGCTAACCCCATGATGTGGGCTTCATTCAGGCCCCAAGCGGACCCACCATATCTCAGAACCTTCTGAAACTTTTTTTCCGTTCAGTTGTCTCAAGTATTTTGTGCCAGCAGTGAGATGCATGACTAATACAGAAACAATGAACTTGAGTGCCACTCCAGGGGCTGTGCTTTGACCTTTATCCCTTTTTACTATCGGACACACAGCAATTGAATAAGTAAAGGAAAACAGAGCTTCAAGTTGCTGCCACACTAAGTGTTACATAGAGCTACGAGGAAAACCTGGTCCCTGCCTTCAGGCTGGAAAGGGAGGAAGTATGTGAGATGAGCCATTTTTAAAGAGAGGAAGAGAGGAAGAGAAGAAAAACGGAGCTGAGGATGTGGCGGATGTGACCAGCTCTGACAATTTGTATGAAAATTTGTGGGGCTGCAGGCAAGAGTCAGTAAACAGGAAGTGTCTCCCTGTTATTTCTTACACTTTATTAAAACAGTAAAGTGTATGTCGGAAGATAGCATGGGTTGTGACAGAGAACTTGGAATTAGTGATATAGAAGTCATGTTTGTGCTCTTTTTAGGTTCTGGGGTTTTCTGTACTGAGTGTGTATTACCTCACTCATAAATCATAAAATTAATGCAAAGATGTTTTTTCACAATGAAAAGAAGATCCCCATCTGTGGATGTGATGTTGTAGATACCTGGGATGGTCCTGTTCACCCTCAGTGCCTGCCCAGCCCCTTTTGTGACAGTTTGTTTTAACCAGTTTGTGACAAGAGTCTGTAAGTGATGCACTAGCTGATGACAGATGTCGCTTTGTTTGTGAATCTGGAGCATTTCAGTTTGGTCATTGTTGAATCTTTTCTTCCTGTGTTTGTATGTTAAATGTTCTTAGAAAACTCTTGAATCCTGAAGCCTGGTGTGGCAGCACATGCCCGTAACCTCACTACTTGGGGAAGAAAGGCAGGAGGGCCAGGAGTTTAAGGTCACCCTTGGTTACATAGTGCCTTTGAGGC